GACCCTTCCCTGCGTGGGAATGGAATCGTCTCGTCCGCATCTGCCTAGCATGGTCACCGGCGTCTCTGAGCCTTCTGGAGGCTGTTAATGTATTTCAGAGGGAGAGCCTGGGTCTAATGTTTAGAGGAAGTTTTCAAGGCCTTCTACAGTGAAGTTACTCATTAAACACCCTTTTCCCAGAGTGACTCTCACGTGCTCAGCCGCACATGTTATATGTGCAACCTTAGGCGCCGAGAAATAGTTTTCAAAACCAGTCTTAGTGGTCATGACTGTGCTCAGATACAGGAAAACATAAGATGACTTAGATTAAAATGCAACTTCTCCTAAGTTAAGATGCCAGAACAGTGTGACCAGAATCCCTCAAATCCATAAAAGGCACATGTTACAGGTGGAGCTATTTTAGTACTTTTCAGAATATTTAAACTGCCCTTCAGTTTTCATGTTCTGATTCTCTTTTAAATTGGTTGAAGGATTAATCCAGCTCTTGGCAACATAGCAGGTTAATATTTTCTTTGCCGTCATGTGCTAGAATCCCCTTTAGGACGCTTTACCCCAAACACCGTCAAGTTCTTAAGCAAAAAAGTCCCGAGGGAGCCAAAGATGATCCTCCCGATAACCATTATCTGCTAAACTATATTAAAATTGCATTAACGCTACCTTGTCCTCTAAGATTGGAACAGATATAGATGTACCATAGACATAGTTTCTAGTTTAGAAAGTAATGTACTTCCACTGATTTCTGAGCCTAGAAAAATATTTCAGTGAATGAATTCCAGTCTAGATTAGTTTAGTTCTGATTTTAAGCTAGTTTCATTCATGGATATCATCTAAGTCTGCTGATGTTTCACACTTTTATAAAAACGTGGCATACACATGGCTTTTCCTGCATTGGCAGTTCAGTGCCATGCCACTTGGTATTTATCTTGTCACACTATTTCCGTTCTGGGGGTCCCATGATTACACTGGACAGAATTGCCCTGAAACTTTACACAAAACTGGCAGCTCATATGGAGATTGGCCAAAGGAGGGTGGTTGGCCTTTCTGTGTTTCTGTCTATGTACCTGTTATCCAACCATTAACTCTTGGATTAAACCTGTATGTCACTGACTTTTTTTTTTTTTTTTTGTATTTTTATGTTTTTATTTTTTTCAGTTCTGGGGATCAAATTCAGGACATCACACACGCTAGACAAGCACTTTGCCGCTGAGCTACATCCATCTCCAGCAACCCTATAAAAAAAAAAAAACCAATCAATTTGGAGGAAAGACATCCTTGTTATAAGAACTGATAAGGTAAAAGATCAAGCTGATTATGGTGGCACACACTTGTATTTCCAGAAATTTGGGAGAGTGAGGTAGGATGATTGTAAGTTCAACCTCAGCCTGGGTAATTTAGCCACTCAACAAGACCCTGTCTCAAAATAAAAATACAAATAAAAAATGGGGTAGGTATGTAGCTCAGTGGGAAGGCCCTGAATTCAATCCAAAGTAGGATCCCCTCCTCCAATGTTAACCATTAGGACAAAGGAATTTTTAATTCTCATATAATCTGAAACAAATTTGAAACACAAAGCAATTGCCAGATACTTATTCTCCTTGTAAACACAGAACAGTAGAACTAAGCATGATGGCAGCTACTTAGGAGGCCAAGGCAGAAAGAGCACAAGTTTAAGGCAACCTGGACAAATCAATAAGACTCTGTTTAAAAAAACAGAGGTGGGGATTTGGGATGTAGTTTAGTGGTAGAGCACTAGACTAGCACGCACAAGTCACTGGGTTCACCCCAGAACCACACATGCACACACAACGTAGATGATAATGCTACAGTTCTCCCTGTGACTATTTCCAATTCCGTTTGCTTTCCTGACTGCCCCTGATGTGACCTATGTTATCAGAACTGTGCATATCACCAGTCCCTTCCCCTCCCCAGTACATCTCAAACAGGACTGTCATATTTTGCATATCACTGCGCATCTGATAATTTCTTTCATCCAACTCTTACAAATCTTTCCTTGTTAGTAGAAGCAAGTACAGCTCATTCTTTCTAACTTCCTCAAGAATTTTGCTTGGCCTGGCTAAATCAGCACTCATCAAGTTATTCTGTATAATGCACATATGCTGTATCAATCAGGGTTTTACTAGAGAAACAGATATAACACAAGATGTACAAATGTATAAGAAATTACAGGATTGGCTTATGATGGTCAGCCAAAGAGTTGTATGAGGAGGCGTGCAGAGGGTGTCTGCACACTGAAGACCAAAGGAATCAGTCCAGGGTCTGGAGTTAAGTGCAGAGTTCCATGCAAGTCCATACCAGGAGGCTGATGAGTCTGCGACGGAAGGCTGAAGGATCCAAGGTGGAAGCCGAAGAGTTTGCACTAGAAGCCAGGAGATGACATTCAAGCTGAAGGTGAAGACTAGAGCTCCTCCAAAAGGAATGGAAGTTCCTCTGTCCTTCCTCATTTCCCCTTTATATCATGTAGGTGATGATCCACCCTAGGGTGGCTCCTCTACACTCTAGGGTGTAAAATTGCTGAGCCATTTGCTGAGCCAAGTTTAATTAAACTTCTAAGCTTCTCAAGTTGGCATAATCAATCAACCACTATATATGGGTTCTTCCCCTCTTCACCCAAGTGACTCTGTGCTAATAGTACCACAGCCTGGGTCTCATCTCTTCCGCCCATTTACGCGCTAAATTATCATGGAGCACAAATTTGGTTTTGGTTTGTTACAACTTGGAGTATCTTCTTTTCCAGACTCTTTGTCCTGATCTTCAAAGTCTTCCATGATTTCTTCCCAAATTCATCTTTAAAAAACTATTTTCTCCATTTCCTTTATATTTATTTTATTTAGCAAAACAAAAATGGTCGTGCTTCCCCCAGGTTTTCTGCCTCTCTGCCCTCTCCAGAGCCTGGAACGTCCTCTTTTTTTTTTTTTTTTGGTTTTTCTCTGGTACCGGGAACCGAACTCACGACCTTGCGCTTGCCAGGCAGGCTCTTTGCCGCTGAGCTAAATCCCCAGCCCCTGGAACGTCCTCTTCTTGCCCCCAGAGAAGATGCTGCCTTCAAAGTTGGGTCATTCATTGAGGCTTCTTCTGTCATTTTCATGCTCCACAAAAATGTGTGCAACCTATATTCTTTGGACAGCTATAGTAATTTGAATGAGCAGAAGGGTAGAAGACACAAAAGTGAGCTATTGAGGTAGCTCTCATAGGAATGCTGGACCAAGTGGGATCTAAATAAAGGCTAAGCAGGTTCTAAGTGTTGGATACATTTGTGATTCTACACTCTAGAACAGAATGTGAGAATGTAATCAGGTTGTAGGAGTATTAAGGTGTTATGCTTTATACCTAACTTTGTTCAATTCTACTCCAGTGTAGTTATAGGCAAGGAACGGGCAATTGTGTAACCTGGGGATAGTTTGTAACTCAGCAACCTTAAGTGCAATGAAGTGAACTTCATACATAATGAACACCACATTTAGATGTATATTAATTCAGAGAAACAGGGAGGTGTGATAGAAGAGTACAGTGTATGTTTAAATTTTAAAAATTATTACATTAAAAGAATCCATTCAAAACATCCACCTTTCATTGTCATTTTGACTTTGGAAAACAGCTAGAACATGCACAATGGCAGACCCACGAATAAGGTGGATGAGGACAGACCATGTGTTATGTGGCAGAAATGCTTATATTTTGAATAGATTCAGAAAATCCTGGTTGCTAAGGAAAGGTACTCATAAAAGAGGGCTTACAGAAGTGCCTTCACAAGTGGCAAGAATGACAGGACAAGCGTGTTTGAAGCAAGAAGGATATTTTGAGGGGAACTGATAACAAGGTGTCTCTCAGTGTAAATTTTTAAGATTTAAACATTAACCACATACTTTGATTATACTTTGTATACTGACTCCAAGATGAAAGTGACAATTTGAGTCAATTTGTAGAACATGTGGTTTTAACTGATTGCTAAAATAATAGTAGTTTTTTTTTTTTACATTTTTTCTTCCCATCCCCCCTTCGTGATTCATGGTAGTACAAATAGCTTAATGGAAGGAAGTTAGCAATGTAATCCTGGCCATCGGCCAATACGCCTGTCTTTAACAATAATTATCAAATACTGGGATCCAATCTTGAAATCTGTAAAAATAGCTTTTGGAGTTTATTATTTATTTCTACTAATGAAAAATTAGAAGTCAATTATGTAGTCAAGAGTAACAGATTGATTATATACATACAACCAATCCATACTGAAATAATATGTAGCATTCAAATGCTACAAAGTCTATAATAACATTAACATTTTTTTGATGTAATGGTCAAGAGAGATGAAATGTAAACTTGTATTTGGACCTCATTTTCTACTTATCTAGATCATGAGCTTGTCAGGTTGGTAGGTTTGAAAGTCATTTTTTTTCTTTAAAATTTTTTTTCATGAAATAATCATTTTTATGTTATGACACTGTACTAGCTGTACTGTTGTTAGGTATATGGTGAGAGTTGGATAGAAGGAGAATTTCTTCTTCTCTAACACCAGAAAGGTGGCCAGAAGTGTTCCCCCTAATCAGGGACGAGCACACAACTTTCTTGCAAGCAAGCAGCCAGAGAAGGGCAAAATTAGAAACAGCCCCAATTGCAAGTGGAGAAACTGGTTCAAACAAACTTAGAAGATGCCTGAAGCTTTAGCACAAAGACAGGGCTATGCAGTGTAGCAAACACTACTGGAAATACACCTACATACGATGACCTTCGTAGATTGATTATCTTAGAAGGGCAAAGAAAGCTAGCAGATAGGATTTTCAAATGCTTGTCTTTGAAAAACTATGAATTATGGGAGAACTATTGGAAATTTAGGGATAAGGAATCATTTTTTACTTCCAAAAATATTTTGAAAGTGAATTCGGAAACACTTGAAACACTCAATAGGCCGTGAATCACGTGTTGAGCCTCAATAAAATTTTAGGAGACATTTATGATTGTATGTTTTTGTCATTCTTCATCAGAGCTTGGTGGAAATCTAGAACACGAGACTAGGAAGGAAAACACTGCAGACAGAAATGGAGATCTCGGTTTCTCACTGCTTCACTAAGAGTGGCTCAGGTCACGTGATTTCCTTCTTAGGTGAGTGTACCGTAGGAGAGGGATGCTATGAACTGTAATTGTGAGGTGTAGAGCAGCTTCCTTGAGATCGCACTAAAGTGCAGAGATTGTGACCCAGCAGACCTGGGATTGGGCCTGAGGCTCTGCTTTCCTAAGAGGCTTCTGGCAGATGCTACTCCTGCCATAGGAGCCTCATTTTTGCTTATGGAGGTTTCAGACCATGAGTCAAGATAGAACCGATTACAAACCAGATTCTAGTGGTCTGCGTTCCAAGCTGGTTCTCCTACTCCTCCTTCTGTTTTTTTTTTTTCTTCTTTACTGTCCTGGGGGTTGATCCCAGTGTCTGTGTGCTGAGCTACTTCCTAACTCTTTTTATATTTTCTATTTTGAGATGCAGTTTTGCTAAGTTGCCATGGACTGGGCTCAAAGTTGCAATCCTGTGTCAGCCTCTGAGGGTTCCGGGATCACAGCCTGCACCACTACTCCTGGCTTGTCCAAAGTTTCTGAGTAAACCGCAAGACTAGTTTTTCAAGCATTCAAGGTAATTCTGTGGCATAATCCCATAAGAAACTATAGAATTAGAAATTTCATAATCTCCTGTGATGCTATTCTTCCAGTTAGTTTTTCCAGACAGTTCTATTTGTTTTGTCTGGATGTTTTCTCAATCTTATATAAAATCCATTACTTCTACCTCTGTATAACTGTTTTCACCTTACACTGTGTTTTTCATTTTCTATTCTTATCCTTATGGTACCTACATCCTCATCTATATACCCATAAATTATCCTCAATAGACTTTTTGTGCTTGGTTACCTCTGGTTTTTTCAAGTATATAATTACATTTATAAAGTTCTTCCATAATTTCTAACATTATGTCACTTCCAGGATCAAGGGATTTTTAATTGTTAAAAATGTTTATTGGTACCTGTTTGTAGTATGTAATGATTGCATTCCTCATGGGGAGTCCGTCCAGGTACATTAGCATCTTAATTCTTTCACTTTCAACCCTTTTCTCTTTCCTCCCTTTCACTTCATGGTTACTTCAGTTTTGAATGGGATTCAGTGTTTACTTGTTCTTTTTTTTTTTTTTATTTAGCTTTTGATTTGTTCTTTATACCTCAATTTCAGTTCTCACCTGGTCAATGGACAAGAGGGTATTGTCTCTATCTACCTTGGTTGGGACCAAATAGAAAATAATTTTAATGGATGTCCAGAGACTGACCATTGTTCCTGAGTCACTCTAGGTTGAAGGCTCTTGTCTGACAATTTGTGAAGAACACAGAAAAAAAATCTCCTGAGGTCTACAACCCTCTGTATAACACCAATAGCAAAAGAGTTTAAAAAAGTATGATGTGCTTAAAAAAACCTTGGGAGAGTTCTATTATTAGCAGTAGGAAAATATATCACTTTTTAATTTAGTGAAATTAATATCCAAAATTAATTGAAGTATATTTAATTAATTAATATGTCATTAATTTTTACATGGATTCTCCCCACTAGCGGTGTGTCTCTTAAATGTCTGCTGGAAAGGTCTACTATGGAAGCATTGCTCACAGATAGAGCATTTTTTCCAGACACGTTTGCTACATTTCTATTTGCATGATTCTGCCCAGAGAGGGATCACATTTTTTCACCCTTAGACATCCCGAAGTTATGTGGGGATTTCTCACTTCTATCTGGTGCAAGCCCATTGTGAAAGAAGAGTACCATTAGCACTTCGTGTGAGCCTTGCTAGAGCTATAATTTTCTGTACCTGTTTGGCTTTGGCCAGAGAAAGAAGCCAATGATTGCATGTTGACATTGCCTGGCTTCTGGGGCCACTTTATCCTGTTGGGCTGTGAAATCCGCATTCTTGTAATGCCTATCTCATTTATGCCATTCTTTGCCTGAATATTTGCTACAGCAAATTTCACAGAAAAGGAATAGAGATGAGTGATTAAAAACATAGCCTTCTGAGATGAAGACTTCTACTGGCAAAACTCCAGGCCACACCATTAAAATAAAACTCTGAAGGACCCAGAGTAATAAAACCTTGAGGCAGAAAAAGGTAAGTTGGAAATGGTACAAGCAAATGGTAGGTTAGGAGCACAGGCTCTGGAGCCAGGTGGGCTGGACCTTATTCTGCCTTGTGTGTGGGTCACTTTAGATACACGAGCTCACCTCGCACATTCTAACTTCCTGCTCTGGGCAGAGGATTAAAGAAGGCAATCAGTTATGCCGCACTTCATACTTGGCAGGGGCAGAGATCTTTGTTTTTCTCCTGAAGTGCTACAAAAGTCTACAGCAATTCCTGTCATAGACTAGGTGTTTATTAAATAAATAACTTCCTCTCACAAAGACTAAAAATCCCTGTGTCTCTTTCTAAGATTCTCCGAATGTCTCCGTACATACCTTCTCTAAACGTGCAGCTTCACTGGAACCCTTTTATTGTTCTTGAACAATTAATGACCCCAACTTTTTGTTCATCAACCCCCCACGCCCAAATCTGGTGACACAGTTAAAAGTCTAAATACGTCCATGGACTGCCACATCCCCAAAGACGTTTATCGCCTTTAACCAAGGTGGATACAACCATGTGAAGCTTCAACCAAGTTCAGTCTATTCTTTTCTTTTTAGTGTTTACAAAACAAGATATTTTATGGATGTAATTTATACATTGACTAGAAGAGGACTATTCCCAATATTATCTTTATCTTCTCTACATAAATAACAAACAACTCCAGTAATCAAAATTTACTACAATTGTAATAGATTCTGGCAGAGTTTATGTATTTTATGCGAAGGTAACATAATGCTGACTTCCAAGGATGGAGGCCAGGATTTCCGGTTTGGCTTTGTTAAGTGGAAAAAAAAATCCACTACTGTATTTGTAGTTTTTACTACATTCAAGAGATTAATTCTTGTAAATAAAATTGTTTATACCGGCTTCTAATCAGAAAGTTGAAATTATCTGTGGCAATGTAACCACTAAAAACTTGTATACTATGAAAATATTTCAATAATTAATGCATGCTCCATCTAGAGTAATTGACAGTGAGGTCATAAACGTAATGGGCCATCTGTGTTTGATTTGTACATGAAAATGCTTAAAGGGATAGGCAGGTAATTCAAGCTTCTCAGGAAAGGAAGATTTGTTCCAACTCCTCCAAGTAGCAGAGCCACTTAGTACATTATTTTCCTTTTCCCTTAAAGTCTTCTCCAGATCTTTTTTTCCTTGAGGTCTATACCTCCCACTGCTCCTCATTTTAATGCAATGATTGATCCCTTGTAGACTTTTTGATGTGCATGGCATTCACAGTCATCCTCAAGTGATTGTACCTAGTTCTCCTAGTTCATTTGGATGGCAATTTGAAAGCCAAATGCCTGCTTAAAAAATCCGAGTAGCTCACTCCAACATTTTGACTTTATTCATTCTACTTGGTCTGACCACTTTAAAAATTTATTATTGCAGATTTTGCTCTTCTGTCAGTGAGCAATTTATCAACCTTGTTTCTATTTGTTGACAAGGAGTCATAGTGGCATTAGGTAATCTTAGTATGATTTTTGTAACATACCACTTTGGATATGGTACAGAAATTCCACATTGCTGGAAGTAATATGGCCATACTAGGCATCCAAGGAAGTTCTAGGATTTTGTGTAAGAAAACCAGAGCATGTTGAATATTGCTATTAAGACTTGTATCTAGATGTCCCACCAACGCTTCATGGGCTCCTAGGTGAGTCTTTTCAGAGTTGGCTGGATCTAGCATGTGATACTGTGATTAAGGGTGTGTGGTACTAAATTAGTCCAGTGACTGGAATTAGCATAGTTCTGGATGTGGTTGAAGGGATTCACTAAAGACAGCCCCCACCTGGGGTAATGAGTGGCACCACCCAAGAGGCTCGTAGCCTGGATGGGGTAAAAAAGAACTGAAGGCTGTTGCTTACTGTTGCTGCTTCCTGCCTGCCACACCATGAACCATTTCTCCTCATGCCATTTTGCTCTGCCTTGGAGCCAGCAAACTACAGACTGAAACCTCTACAAACTGTGAGCTGAAATAAACGTTTTCTTCTTTCTCTCTGGGTATGAGGTATCTTATCTCAGCAATGACAAAGACAGTTGCCCAGAACAGTGTCATCATATCCAGATCCATAAACTCATCTAGGAACACATATTCATCTAAAGTGTACTGAGCACTTAGGGTCTGCCTGGCACTGTGTTAGACTGAGATGTACTGGACCATGCGTCACCCTCGACTTCTTGGCTGTTATGTTCTAGCAAATGCAGCTGCCTGCTTAGATCTCTTACAGAAAGCACAAACTCTACAACTAGAAAACTAAATGGATAATATTCCCCTGAAAAACCCTGCTCTAGCCTCTCTCTCCTCCTGTATCATCTGTTTTGGCAAAGTATGCCACTACCTGCCCAGTGACTGAGGTCTGCACTGCACGATCCCCTTCATCATGGTGAATCACAAGTTCCGTCCGAGCTAGCAGCTTGGCACTTGACTCTGACCTTCTCTCCACTGGTCACAGCTTTCACTCCCAGTAATTTTACTTTTGGGCCTGCACATTGCAGCAGCATCCAGTGTTACTTTCTCCACCAATCAATTCTTCCTACTGATGCTGCGGTGATATTTTAAACATGAAAATGCTGGGAGGATTATGTCAATTTTCTGTAGAAAGCCTTTACTGGAAAGGTTCTACAGTCACCTTAGAGGTGAACCCCAAACTTTTTAATATGGATTAGAAGAAAGACCTTTGCAAATATGGTCTGGCCTTGACCCTACAATGCCAGTGTTTGCCATGGGTCTTACCTTCTAGTTTGAGCAATGTTGAAAATGATGTTATATTCCATACAAGCCGTATATCTAGTCTTTTATACTTAATAAGCCATAAAACATAAGCTTATCACCCGGTCCTACTTAGGTTTATGTGCTAGACTATGAAACAATTGTTTGTCAAGAAGGTGTTCCATATGTTACAAACCAGCTAATTTCTTAGAAAAGCAAACATTCGCAACTGAGAATAATATATAAATACATCTAGTTAGTGAGCTTTGATGTTTAAATAATTAGACGATGTGCCTAGTAAACAAATAAGGGGGTTGGCACCAACTGAATTGACTGGAAGAACTTAATGGCTTGGAACACGAGAATGGTAAAGGTCAGCGATGTAAAGGGGAGTGGGGAAGAACGAGATGGAAATGGGAAAGGGACTGTGGGCCTGAGAAATGGGACGGAGCTTCAGGAGGAGATGAGTAGAGTGAAACTGCTGCCAAGAGCTCCAGTGGAACACCGGAAGATGAAGACAGCAAGGATACTAGCAGCTAACAGGTAGCACTTACAGCAGCAGTGACATCAGCTCACAATCAGACTTGCACAGCACTTACTATGTGCCAAGCAAAGCCCTCTAAACATGTTACACATATTATGCATGTTAACCATATTAACCATTTAATCTTCACTTGTCCTATCTACCTCCTATGACTGTTAAAATGATCAAATGAATCTATTTTTAAAAAGTACTTGCATAGTGATATCTAAATATTTGTCAATAAAGCCCTCTTTCATGGGGGCATGGCAAGTCGTACACTTTGCTTGAGGCCACACAGCTCCTAAGTGGCAGAGGTCAGGTTAGAACCTGGTTACCTGGCCCTGGAGCCCACACGACCTCTGAGATTTCTGTGGCCTACTGGGACAGTGACGGAGCTGCAGCTCTTCTTGCCTTCTTCACCTGCTGAGTGATGGTTCAGGGTGCATCTGCTCCTCCACGCAGATCCCCTTCATGCAGAAGAATTCCAGCCTCATGGGTTGGTGGGGGACTGCATTGCTGCTGCTCACCTTATCCCTCCCTCATGTTCCGTCCCTCCGGTTGCTTTGGGGTGACCGTGTGGGAGGGACACTCCTTTAAGAGTTTCGGTGTGATCTTATTTAGCAAAATAGAAACAAAATACAAGCTGAGCCTGTAGACCCATCACCATTACTAGAAAAGGATTTAAGATCTTAATAACAAGTGAGTCCAAGATCTCTGGATTAAGACTCAGAGTTAAGGGCCTCCTTGCCCTAGCCTTCTCCCAGTTCTTCTTTTCTTGCTTGTGTCCCTCAGCTGCTGAGCACCCATCCCTGTCCTTACACTGTGAAAACAATTATGATGACAATAAAACTAATGACCAGAACAGAGCAGCATGAATCTCTCCACACACAGAAACGATATTTGAGAAGACAGAAATGCTTGCAACACTGAGCTGATCATTCTACAGTGTATATGTGTATCAGATGGTAACTCTGCACCCTGTAAATACCTATCCTATTATGCCAATTAACAAATAAAGTTAATTTAAGAGGAATGTGGTTAGCACATAGTAATGAACTCTTCTTATATGCTGGTCACATGAAAGCATATCTCATTTAATTCTCACAGCAAGCTTGTACAGGAAGAACTGTTTTTAAATTACCATGGTAGGTGAAGAAACTGAGCCTTAGTGAAGGTTTGGTTGTTAAGTAGAAAGGTTGGAATTAGAGCCCAGATCTATCTTTCTTACATCCAGTGCCACACATCCCTTCCTCCTCCCACTGAGCATTCAGTGGATTTGATTTGTCTGATTCTTGGGAGGTAAGTGAGGTGATACACATGGCTTCCCTGAATGAGATACTTGGGTAAGTGCTGCAGAAGGAATTCCATCCATTGAGAAGGCCACTTTAAGCCATGAACATTATGAAAGGCACTGAATAAGATCACAAGATTTATTACCAAGGCCAGTACCTGCTTAATGAGTATCTACAATGCCCTGGACCATATCTGATAGTGGCACAGAGAACAGCAGTGTCATACAAGATGTGAATGCTGCTTCCAAGAAAGCATTTGAAAGGGAAGATAGGACCCGCTCTGGTCAGCAGCAGAGCCCAGGAGAAGCTGGAATGGTGGATTCTGTGAGGCCTCTGTGAGTGACTGGGTATCCGGCTGTGACCTTTTCCATTCTGTCCTCTTCAGAGTGAATCTGGACCCCAAGGGCTAGCCTGAAATTGAATGAGAGCTGAAAGACCTGAAACATTAATAAGCTCAAGAGAAACAGACACTTTGTTTCTTCTCAAGGCCCAGAAGAAGGTGGCAGACTTCATGTTCCTGAAGGAGAAAAGCTTGGGTCTATCTTCATTATAACGTGGTCCATGGAAGGACCATCTGCTGCTCCCGACCTCGGTGGCTCAGGAAGAGCAGACAAGCTCTGCACTCCGTCGGTGGCATCTCTCCCATCTTCCCAGGGCCTTAGTAGATGGTAGTGGGACCATGAACTTCCAAGTCTTTCACCACCTTGGAGTTTCCCCAAGTCCAACACCAAAACACCTATTGTACAAGGAGGTAGAACATGGCTTTCAGGAGAGATCCTAGTTCCTCTAATGGGATTTAGGAATGGGGAGAGAAATCCAAATGTGTGGAAGATGATTCCTTGAGACAGAGATAAAGGTATGAACATAGAAATGGGGAGTGTTCTCAAAGGTACTCCAGTGGAACACCGCGAGGCAATTTTGGGTCCTAAAATAATGATTTCTAAGTTAAAATATCCCTTTTGTGAATGAGAAAAATGTGTGATTTCTGCTGGCTATTGAATTAGAGATCAGGAAGATTAAGTGAATGGAAGCAGAACATGCCACAAAGAGAAAAAAATAGGTAGTAGGACAAAATTTCTTTTTTCAGTGAACTAAGAGAAACGGAAATTTCACAGGCAAATAATGAGGGATCTGAATGAAAGAAGGCAGAGAAGCATATTTTCCTGAGCTGAAGAGGCTGTTAGCTTTCTAATAACAAGAATTGAGTCTAAGAAAGAATTAACACCAAAAAATGAACCAATCCAAGGAAAACCACCACACTAGACATCTCATTAAACTCCTGACCATTTAACATAGGTGGTGATGTAGTGTTCTTCTTGGGTCCCCCTCTAGGACTGCACAATGATAATCCTCCACTTCTGCAGTCCAATCTCTGCTGGCTTCTTAAGATAAGATACAGAGGAAAAGGCCTCTCATCCTAACTTGCTAATTCAGACTCAGCTCCTGCAAGGTCTGTTGTGGCCTCCTTTGAGGCCACACCATAGCTCACCTCATCCCTTTGCATTATCCTGTACATATCCTACAACTATATATAATGCATGGTGCTCAGTGGGTTTTTATGCTCTGATTTCTTACTGCATAGAGACTGCAGGGTAGAGGTAAGAAAAGAGGGTAGACATTGGAGGAGAGAGAGTCATTTATTGTTAGGCAAAGATATTAGTTATTTGTGCTTATTTATTTAAGTCCTATCCCATGTCTTCATCTCTTATAAGCACAATTCCCAAGAGAACGCTACCATTCCTGCCCACAAATCCCATTTCACATGGTTCCCTGGGGGCTCTGACCCATAACTCTGTACATAAAGCAAAGCAAAGCAAAGCAAAACAACAACAAAACTCACCTTTTGAAAACTAAACCAAAGCACAGAATTCCCTCTCCCCAAACTCCTAAGCCTCATGAAATTTTCTGATAGAAACAGATTAAGTATACAGGAAAAAGAGGCTCACACTATACTTGCTCACAATTTTGAAAGCTGAAAGAGAGTGAAATTATGTGCAGAGAGCAACATCTACTAAAAGGTAAAGATGATGAAATACAACCGACTGGGAGAAGTCCTGAGATCCAAGAAACCCTTAATCAGTAAAATAGAATTCATTTGATCCAAGAGAAAATCAATTTAGGATGGGAAATTCAGTGTATACTACTCAGATAGTCCTCTGACACGAACACTACAGAAAGTCCTCTAACCACATGGCAGTTCAGTTAAAAGAGGATCTCAGGACCAAAAGGGGTAGAAACAAGCCATCATGCAGTGATATGGGTGGGACTTTGTACTTTCAAGGTGAGGCACAACTATTGGAACAGAAAAAATGAAAAGGGCCATGTGCTGTAATTCAGCGATGTCAAGTAAGAGTTGAAGTTTGTACGAAAACAGATGGGGAAAATGATGGGGAAAATCATCATTCATAGTATCACTAACAGGAGGAAAATCAACTTCAGTAGTTGTGGACAAAGAACAAGCAGAAATACTTTTCAAATTACCAATTAGAGTAAAGGAGCAAAGAGAGAAACTCAGTTTGGTTGCCAAACAATAGCAAAATGTAGACACTAGAAGTTAAATATAAAATGCAGGAAGTGAATAAATCAGTTTTATAAGAAATATGAATGGGTATAGCTCTTTATCAAGTGATTAAGTTAAGAAACAAAATCTAGGTATCCAGTCATAAGAGCCAACCTTGATTGAGAAGAGATAACCTTTATCATTAAAATATAGGGATTAAAAATAAATTTTAAAATATACAAAGTAAAAAAATAGCAAAATAAAACAGTAATGTAGAGGGAAGATATTAATAGAGAGCTAAAAGAAAAATAAAGAAAGTATGTAAAATGAAAATTAATTTCATTGAAAATATCAAGTCTGATTGGGAAGACAGAGAAAGTGAAAGAAATACAACATTATAAGGAAATATAAACATAAAAGGTACAATAGATATTGTAATAGGGAAAGAGACTGCACAAAAGGAACGAAAAACTGGCATGAGGGAAAAGAGAAAAGAAGGAAAGAAGAAAAAATATGTATATATGTATACACAGGATAGCTAAGATAGTTGTACTACCAATTTCTATTAAGTTATTGAAAGGAACAGTTACTGTTAAATTGTTTGATCAGTCTTACATGCCTATATTTGTTTATTTGAGTATAAAATTTGAAGATATGCATATATAATACAACAACCACTGTTAATTTCCTATCACCTTGTCTGAAATTCTGTATTGCTTGTACTGTTTTTGTGTTATTTTGTAAATGTCTGTATGGCTGTTAATATGTTTTCATTCTTTTATCTTTAAAATAAAAAAAAAAACAAAAAAACACACCTATAGTGAAAATTAAAAACTGACTGTATAAAAATAAATGTGATGGATTCAGTATACTCTATGATGTTTACACAATAAGGAAATCAATTTATAATGTTTTTCTCAGGACACATGCTACAATTAATCAATAAAACAATGTAGCCAATGAAATCTGTCAGTGTATGGAAGGCCTACAGCACCACAACTGGACAGGGTCGTTCGCCAGAATGTAAGAATGTGTCTTAGCCTTTACAGTTTTATACAAATTAACTTCTACAAACTACATATCATTGCGGTACTCAGTGGGTTTCTATACTCTCATTTCTTACAGCATAGAGATTGCAGGGTAGAGGTAGGAGACGAGGGCAGACATGGGAACAGAAGGAGTCTCACTTGTTGTTAGGCAAACACATTAGTTACTTGTTTAAGTTTTAGCATGCAAGTTGAAGAGAGGCATGAGAAATAACAAAAGAATGTGTGATGATTACCTGTTATGTCCAAGAATCCTGACTAAGTGCTCCGAATGCAATGACATTTAATGGCTTCATCGAGTCCGGATGAATATGCAGAACACCACACACGCAAACACACACACACACACACACGCTCATATCTATAGAATACCTTCTAGAAACATTCACTGATTAAAGAAAAAATCCAACAATTTTTTTATTTTAAAAGGCAAAAGATTTATAAGATCTGAAGAGAAACCAGAGTATATTTTTAAATTTTAAAGCAAAAAAGAAAACAATACCAAAGTAACAACAATGAAGACAAAAAACAAAACAATACAAAAACAATGGAAACAATATAAGATTTCAAGATAAGATGATAGGAAATTAACAATGGTTGTTATATTACATATTGTTAACTTCAGTGAAGTTGCTCAGATTACCAGAGGCAAGAATGGAAGATTAGTATTTTAAAGAAAGTTAGGAAGGTTTTTGCATAGAAATGTAGTATTGAAGTTGGTTGCAAGTAGATGGAAGACTATGCGGAGATGGGAACTGGGTGTGCGGTTGGGAGGACCCAGGAGGGAATGGCTACAGATGGGAAATGAAAAGCATCAAGACGCCATATGCATATGTACCAGTTCCCCATCACTACTGGGAAAAATGTATTCATTACGTATTATTGTGTCTCAAAACATACTAATAAAATGGGAAAATAAACACTTCAAAAACTGACAGACTTTATTCACAAAACAAACAATATGGCAAGTTAAACTGATATGTGAGGTCCAAGACCTTGCCATTGTTTAATAATAAGCTCATCAGAATGGTTTTGCTGGTTTCACCCACAGAGACACAAGATATAGGTGCCCACCTGCATCTCTTAGGCTGTCTGCACGGGATGCATGCCTGCCACTAGGAGCGTCGCTGAGTGGAGTCTTATACCCTCACAGTACCAGGCTGGACCCTCTCTTCTACTCAACACAGCTCTGTGTGGAGTCCCGGGGATCCTGGGAAAGTGAGTGCTCTCCAAGAAGGAGGAGACCTTTGGACATATTTTGGTCATAAAACAGCTTCTCATCATCCTTGGAGGATGCTTCCTGCTTCGTTTGCCTCTGGCGTAGCCTCGGAATGGTGTACAAGGTCTCCTTCTTCTGTTTGCCTTGAGAAAGGAGATGTCCTGGTAAAGTCATGGGGCTTGAGAGCTGATACCTTGCTATGGAAAGGCAAGTCACCTTTCCCATCCTTCAGACAAGCAGCTGAGCACAGGTCTGGCTGAAAGATGTTAAGGAAAATTAAACAAAGCAAAGCTGGACACCTCAGATGCAAGACTTTGTTACTTAACAAGTTGGAAGAGTAACTATTAGGTCAGTGATGTAAGTCTATCCTATAAACAAAGATTATAAGATTTAAAGAGGAGCTTTGCCTCACTGCAGTGATGTCAGCAGCCAGCAGTGACAGCTGCCCTGCCTTTGGGTTTCATCACTTAAAGCGACAGTATCCAGCCTTCCACTCTGCATCTATCATGAAGACACATTGATTTCCTTTCTGGAGAAACACATATTTCTTTTCTCCCACTAAAAAGATAAATCTGACAGATTTTAATCAAATGTAGTTGTTCAAAGTACAGAAATGCCACATATGGAAACAAAATACAGTGGTTTCTAAAGGAGTGGGGGCTTTGTGGCCAAGTTCCTTTTCAGAGCACACTTGGATTAGCACACACGGGTACACACACACGTGCACACAAAGTCAGGCAACAATCAAGCCTACGTGTTGCTTCTTTGACTACCCCTCAAGACGCTGTATTTGTTTGTAGTGACGTCAGCAAATGTTGGTTTAATTAAAATTTCCACCAAAAGTTGGACTCTCTAGGTGCTTTGTTTCATATAAGCTCTTGTAATATTGGGCTGTGGTCTTTAAAAAAAAAAATGAGTTTTTCTTCTGATGAAGCACCCTATGAGAGATAACAGAGGCGCATGGACACTCATTTCTCTTATCCACCAGGCCCTTGTCATTGTGGTTTTGTTTAGTCCTTGGCTATGATTTGGCTGAGAGTTCGGAGTATTTGCCTCATTTCACATACAGACTCTGAGTATCTCTAACTTTTCAACATGACTGAGGAGGGCCAAGATATTTTTCTTCTGAATTTAAATAGACGTCTATACTAATTTCCTGTAAGGTACTACTAAACAATCTATGGGGGAGAGTTAAAATCAACAAGGCTTAATGCTTGTTGCATCTCATTCATTGATTAGTTGGGTTTCTCTCATTACAGATTGAGCAGGAGCTGATTTTTAACGGTACTTTTTGAAATATTGAGTCCCTGGCATGCTTTGTCTTCTCAGTGTAGATATGACTGATTGCATCTTCATTAGAATAAAGAGAGTGGATGCCTCTTATTCACACTGAGTGACAATTTTCTGTCCAGATATCTTGGCATAAAACATCTTATTTCAGCTAAGTTTTAAAGGTGAGGATAAAAGGGAATTCACATCATGAATGGAAATGTAGAAATATTGTTTTACTTGACTATGAGGCCATATAGTTCAACAGTTCATCTTTTCAGTATTTTTTTCATTTTATCCTCATAATATTATATATTATACTAAGATATATGATTCAAAGAGAATTCCATATTTGGAAGAAAATTATTGGAAGGAAATTTATCTTAATATATACATAGTGTTTTATCTATATAATATTCACTTCAATGGGCAAGAAATAATTAATTCATTGCCTTTTAGAATGAGAGCTTTAGCTATGTATGGTGGCACAGACTGTAATCCCAGCTACTTGGGAGGCTGAGATAGGAAGATCCCAAGTTTGAGGCCAGTCTGGGCAACTTAGCAAGACAGTGTCTCAAAAGAAGAATGTAAAAAGGGATAGGGAGGTTACTTGGTGATCCCTGGGTTCAATCCTTGTATATCAAAAAAGGGGACTCTAAAAATTTACCCTTAGTATGTTTCCGTTTTCATTGCTAATTCCCTAAAAATCACAAATATTATTACTTTTACAATAATGTTTCCATTAAGTGAATTGTCCTGCAATGCATTCCTGAGTTAATTTTGATAAGCACTTGGGTTGAGAATGATCTCACAATTCTAATTTTGGCTTTGGTGCTCCACTTAGAGATATTTCTAAAGAAGATATTTCCAGAAAATTTCATGGCCAGATCTGAAGCTCCCTTGTCAGAACAGTAGAAGAGATTAGCATTTAAATTGTAAGAGAAATAAATTAACTTCTTAAACTATAAAATAAAGAAGTCAATAAAAGTGGGTAAACACATTCACTTGAATACTATGCTGTCCTCATTAAACTTCAGCCTCGAAATCAGTGGTTAAAAATTTGTCCCAATTTCTACCAGGTACTGGTGTTATTTGAAAACTTAACCGAAAATGAAAGGCCACCCTGACACAGGAAATATGTGATTCTTTCCAGAAAGAATATTTGCAATGCTCCAAACTACAGCCGCTAGAAGATATGAAAGCAAGCTCAAAGTATTACCTGGATCATGATTTATACATGCTGAGCCGACAATAAACTCACCTCACTCCCTTGCCCCTACAAAAAGTGCTCGCAGCTAGCTATAACTCCAGCACAGTACTTCACAGCAATATTTCCCAAAGTTACTGAGTTTTTTTTTCTTATTTACAAAAGAAGCAATTCATTTTGTAGGACATTTCAAACTGGCAAATGGCCAGTGACAATTTTGACCAAAGCTGGGTGCAAAAGGTATTGCAAAACACAAAGCAAAAGAATATTTAGGAAAGACGGGAACAAAAAGGAAGATTATTCATCCTTCCATATGGCTTTTTAAAGCCATTTACAATTATGCACCGTTTATGGTAGTTTCTATAAAATTTTCCCCATTGAGAAGGCAGAAGATTGAATAAGTTTGGGAGCACATCACAAAAGGAAGAGAAGGGATTCAGAATGACAATGAAATTTAGCTGATTGTTTGAGAATCTGCAGCTTGGTAATGACACTCGTAACCAGGAGAATGGGGAATGTGATCTCATTTGCTTCTCCAGAAAGGGATTTCAAGAGCTTAACTGAAAATTAAAATTGCTAGTCATAGTGTGAAAAGTAAATAATAACAGTTCTTCCACAATTATGCATCTGATTGAAACAGGTACAGTATATCAAAATTCTTACTACCCGTGTTTAGCTCATTCGTTGCACGTGTGTGGAAATGTACTTCAAGAAAGAAAGAGA